TAACGGCACCCAGTAATCGGCTTGCGCAGTTTACACAGACACCATACCGGAAATGATCATTCCAGTCTCCTTTGTCTTTGCTGACAATGTTATCTGCCTATACTACCAGCTGCTACTACTGTCAGGACCTCTGTCGAGTCCCAAGGCGGAGCCAGACAGCTGAGTTCCATTTTTGGCCGGCCGAACATTCACCAACGAGCGGGAGGGGGCGCTGGGCCAGGGACTTCACATAGCGTCAGCTATTCCCCCCCCCCCAAACTACCACCAACTAGTTGACAGGCTCGGATAATCGACTGTAACGTTTGGCGAGTGCGGCCGACTAGGAAATCCATCCTGGTACGGCAAAGCACCGATGATATCACTATAGCAAATGTTACATCCTCAGAGTGTCTCCAATAGAATGGGTAGCCCGGTTCTTCACCATATTGAAAGTCAGACCCAATAGCTCTTTCTAAATGTGACCCCTGTGGAGCTCTCATAAAGGTGGGATTCGGACCGCCCTCTCACAAAAGCCCGGTACATGCTGTGGGAATCAGACCGTGTGTGGCGCGCGCAGACGGGCTGTTTTGTCTTCTCAGCCACTGCGCCCGGGTCCACTTTCGGTCCTTTTGACAAGGTCCAGCTGTTGGAGTAAAGTTAGTCGGAGAAGAAAGGCCGCACAAGTCTACCTCTACAACGATGACTACCTCTGTAGCCATACAAGAACCAACTCTATAAACTTAGTCACAGTCTTGCGCTTCCTTTGGGGGACAGATTCATTAGTCTAAATGAAAATTATACAAAGAGGAAACTGAATAGCAGTTAGTCTTGGTGAGAGAAACCCGAGAACGCGGCACGCGACCACAGTCGGGAAACAATGCTGTACATGTTTGTCATCAAAAACAGCGCCGCACTCTAGACTAATATGGCGTACATCCGATACTTTCCCGCAAGCAGACAATTCGCTTTAGTAATTTTAAAAAAAGTAAGCAGGGTAGGCCATCGTGCGTTTAATAATAATAATAGTAATAAAAAATACGCATACGAGATTGCAAGCTTTCTAAGTAGATAAAAGGCTGTACAAATGCAAAGAGAGGCATTGGGATGGGAAAGATCGGCGGACCAACGCAGGCATCGTCCAAAAAAATAAATCAGGGTGGCATGCGAAGACCGCCATCCAGACGAATCACCTCTCCGTTTAACATGGGATTTTGCAGCAGGCAGGTGACCAAGTGAGCAAATTCCTCGGGTTTGCCAGCGCGCTTGGGAAAGGCAGTCTGACGAACAAGGTGGTTCACAACGCTTCGTGGCATGGCAGTCAGCATCGGCGTGTCGAAGACGCCTAGATGGGTGCAAACAAGTTTGGAGGTACT